ATATATATATATATATATATATATATATAGAGAGAGAGAGAGAGAAGCTATTGTTTAATAAAAGTCATTAGACATGAAAAACCCATTAGAGAATATTCATGTAGGTTGACTAAGGTCAAGGAATACCCAAAGGAACACAGAAATAGAAAGTGAAAATAGCTTAAAGGAAACAAAGAAGGAAGAAAAGAGAAAAATTTACCTCCCAAAGCAGGGACAAACATTGCAAGCAGGTGAAAAATGATGAGCACAGCCATCAAAGCTTGTTTAGAAAAAGCCACTGTGCTGTAAACAGAAAAAGAATGGTTTTTGTTGCAGTGTGGTGTGATTTCAGAATGGAAAACAATGGAGAAGGGCTAGAGAAGTTGGAAGATGAAGTAGAAGAGGAAAAAACAAATAAATATTGCAGCTTTTGAGGGTTGGAAGAGATGGGAGAGAGAAAGTGGTGAGACAGAAGAAGAAGTGAGGTGGAGGAAGAGGCTTGTCGTGGTCAAAGCTCTGATGAAAATTTTGTATGGATCTTAGCAACCAATGTGCTCTTTAAAAGAGTTGATGAACAAAAAAATATATTAAAAGTTGGCAAACTCTAACAAGTACAGTATAATGTATATAATGTGCCATGATAAAAATTATTTTTCTATTATTATGATAATCTTAATAGCATTTTATGGAATAACTAAATTAAAAATAGAAATACCCTACCCAATCCTCCCCACTCTGTTTATAGGAATGATTCATTCCTTAAAAACATGTGTTTGGGAATCAATTTCTGTACTTGAGGTTTATTTGTTCTTTATTTTATAATTCACTATAGTTTATATAAATTATTATTAATATTTATATTTTTTATATTTTTTATATTTTAATTTAAATTTTTTTTAAAATCAAGATTTGTTTTAAATTACTAGATTACTTTTTAATATTATAACAGTCATTTATTAAATTTAATATTTTTATTAAAATAAATTAAATTTAAAAGAAAAAATGAAGATTAGTTTTAAATTATTACAATACTTTTTAATATTATAATGTTCAGTTTTTAAATTTAATATTTTTATTCAAATAAATTTACCTTAAATATTTTGACAATGGTAAATTTTTATTGCATTGCGAAAAAGGTCAAAAATTAAAAATTAACTTTTAATATTTCAAATATTTTTCTATGTTTTATGATAAAAAAAAATTATTTAAATGAATTATATTGTATAATAATTTTACTAAGATGGATAGGATTTGCATGTCAGTTTACAAATTATCTCTAAGATTAATGAGAATTATATAACATTATTATTAGGGTTAAATATGTTTTTAAGTCCACTAACTATTAAGTAATTTTATTTTTCGTCCCTATTTCAAACTTTGTACGCTTTGATCCCTCTCCTTAATGAAATCAAAATTTTTGGTCCTCCAAAACTAACACCGTTAAATTTAATCTGACGTGGCTAACGGTCTGCCACGTTTCTGTCATGGTAAATATTGAAAATTTGTAAAAATAGTCTGAGCTGGCTAACGACCCTCCTCCCTCTCTCGACCTCCACCCTCGACACCACCACCTCTGCCTCGGCCTTTCACCTCAGCCTTGCCGCCCTCCACCGCCCTTCGACGACCTCCGCTGCCCTCCGCCACCTCTCCGGAAAGCTTCTCATCCTCGTTCTCTCCGTCTACAACAGTCTAGTGGGTCGTTCTTCAACTATTACAGAAGATTGCAGTGAGTCTAGATTGTCAACCAGTGACAACAATTTACACAACCATAACAACAAACGCTTGAAAAAAATTACAGGTTTCATGCTACCATACAATCAGGTTTCAAATCTTCTTTCAGACTTTCAGTTCCTCAGCAACCAATAAATAACAAGAGTATTAAAGTGGACAATAACATGCAATAACAGAAGATCTAACAAACATAGGATTTTTGTGGTATATTAGTTGAACAATTAGTCAAATTAAAAAACCAAAAATTTGACAATAAAGGTTAAGTAGAAAAATGTTGGACCGCAAGAAATATCCTTTCCCCCAAAACACACACAAAAACAAGGGAATCCATAAAGTGTTAAACACACCCATGGCAAAACCACAACTTCCACTTGCAGAAACTCCATTAGCAAAATGCACAGCCAGATAAAGTTACAAACTTTAAGATCCTCACCTTAATGGGTTTCCTCGGTTGAAAGCAAAGCTGGAGTTGGCAATCATGGCAATCCAGAGAGCTATAAATCATGGATTGATATGAACTATGATTATTTTGAGTTCCTTACGCCAAAAATGAGAAACTCTTCACTTTAACTTCAGGGCCCTTGTTATCCTGTCATATTTCCTAGTGTAAACGGTGAGAAAACTTATTGCATTCCTAATGCATTCATAAATGTCACTCAAACACTCGAGACTCACTGCAACCTTTAAGCGAGAGTCAAATCTTCTGTAAATGGGATTGGTATCACCCAAACACTCACTGCAATCTTCGCTTGATAGATCTGGCGTGCACTGAACCAGAGTATGAATTTCCTAGGACCCAAACACGGTAGCGTTTTTTGTTGTAAATTTCATGGTGCCGGCGGGACAGCGTTCGCTGCCTCATGGTTGGTGACGGCGGCTTGCGCAAGAGGTTGGTGGTGGCGGGCTTGCGTGAGGATGAAGTTGAAGGGGAAGGTGGTGGTGGAGGAGGAGAGAAGGAGAAAAGGGTGGTGAACAGTGGCACACCGTGAACGTGACACAAGATTACTGTGAAAGCTGGTATCATGTGTGGCACACCGTTAGCCACGTCAGATTAAATTTAACAGTGTTAGTTTTGGAGGACCAAAAATTATTATTTCTTTAAGGAGAGGGATCAAAACGTACAAAGTTTGAAATAGGGACGAAAAACAAAATCGCTTGATAGTTGAGGGACTAAAAACATATTTAACCCTTATTATTATACTCTTATTATTATGTATTTAGAATAATATATCAATTATTATTTAACTTGTGTATTAAGTATTGACATTTCTGATATAATAAATATATCATTATTTGATTGGTTATCTAAGTGATGTAAACTAAAATATAATGTTGTTATCAAAAGTAGATGAAGGAGTTATTACACAAAATGATGTAATATATATAAATGTAATAAGTTTACTAAAATTCGTTATACTTTGTATTTTACATGACATACTTAATATAAATATTCGAAAGATATTAATTATTATTTTATTTATTGAATTTATAGGTTAGTTGTAGTTATATAATTGTATGTTTGTTATTAATTGAAATTAAATTATTTATAAATTTGTAATGAAATTGTTCCTTTTATATATTAGAAATTTATTTTTAATAGCTTTTCTAAAGATTAGTTGTTTGATTGATGAACTTTTATGACTATAAGTCAAAATATATGATAATAGAGACTTTTCCTTTAAACTCAATTTTGTAAATGTGTTTTATTTTTATTTTTTTTATAAATGTATGTGTTTGTGTGTGTTTTAATAGTTGTATTTTGAAATATATTATATACTCTACGAAACATTTGTTAGATTTATAGTATGGTGGATAATTAGTTTTTAGAGTGTAATAAAATATAAATTTTTTTTAGAATATTGATTTAGAATTATAGATTTTTTAAAATATAAAATTAAATAAATTAAAGTCATAAATAAAAATTAATCAGAAAACAAATACAATTTAAGCCAAAAGAAAAATATATTTAATATCATATAAAATTTTATATTTTTAAATTGTTGATTAATATATATTAACTATTTAAATAGTGGATTTAGCTTAAATAACCTGAACATTAAAACCAAAACTAGATAAATATAGGTAATTAATTAGTGTTTCATGAATGGTAGGAAAAATTTTCCAAACCATCGAATTTCTCGAAGAAGATTAAAGTATTGAGTCATTGAAGGAAACAGTTTGTCTTGGAATTTAAGACAAAATATATAGCTTCTTAACAAAGTGAAGTTACATCTTTTATTTTTCATCTATCTAAAATTTGTCATATTTTTCAAATGGATAAAATGTTTATATAAATAAGACTTAATTACACTAAATTTTAAATATTTTTAAGGATATTCATATTAATTTTTATTAATAATTAAAATTTAATATTTTTCAATTAAACTTTTATTATTTATTTTTTAATTAAATAACATAATTATTGTTTTATTTAGTATTTTGAGTACTTTTTTAATGTATAAAAAATAACAGGTGTTAAAGATAATATAAAATATTATTATTGTTATTGGTAATGGAAGACCATTAATAATTTTATTAAAAAATGTAATAAAAAAAAGTTTTAATGAAATATTAATAATACATTTTACATTATTTTTAATTGGAGGATTAAATAATATTTGAATGGGTTGTTATTTTATTTTTATCACATTTGTTTTTACATAATTCTATCCTATAAAAATTTGGGTTAAATATGTTTTTAGTCCCTAAACTATTGGTCNAGAGAGAGAGAGAGAGAAGCTATTGTTTAATAAAAGTCATTAGACATGAAAAACCCATTAGAGAATATTCATGTAGGTTGACTAAGGTCAAGGAATACCCAAAGGAACACAGAAATAGAAAGTGAAAATAGCTTAAAGGAAACAAAGAAGGAAGAAAAGAGAAAAATTTACCTCCCAAAGCAGGGACAAACATTGCAAGCAGGTGAAAAATGATGAGCACAGCCATCAAAGCTTGTTTAGAAAAAGCCACTGTGCTGTAAACAGAAAAAGAATGGTTTTTGTTGCAGTGTGGTGTGATTTCAGAATGGAAAACAATGGAGAAGGGCTAGAGAAGTTGGAAGATGAAGTAGAAGAGGAAAAAACAAATAAATATTGCAGCTTTTGAGGGTTGGAAGAGATGGGAGAGAGAAAGTGGTGAGACAGAAGAAGAAGTGAGGTGGAGGAAGAGGCTTGTCGTGGTCAAAGCTCTGATGAAAATTTTGTATGGATCTTAGCAACCAATGTGCTCTTTAAAAGAGTTGATGAACAAAAAAATATATTAAAAGTTGGCAAACTCTAACAAGTACAGTATAATGTATATAATGTGCCATGATAAAAATTATTTTTCTATTATTATGATAATCTTAATAGCATTTTATGGAATAACTAAATTAAAAATAGAAATACCCTACCCAATCCTCCCCACTCTGTTTATAGGAATGATTCATTCCTTAAAAACATGTGTTTGGGAATCAATTTCTGTACTTGAGGTTTATTTGTTCTTTATTTTATAATTCACTATAGTTTATATAAATTATTATTAATATTTATATTTTTTATATTTTTTATATTTTAATTTAAATTTTTTTTAAAATCAAGATTTGTTTTAAATTACTAGATTACTTTTTAATATTATAACAGTCATTTATTAAATTTAATATTTTTATTAAAATAAATTAAATTTAAAAGAAAAAATGAAGATTAGTTTTAAATTATTACAATACTTTTTAATATTATAATGTTCAGTTTTTAAATTTAATATTTTTATTCAAATAAATTTACCTTAAATATTTTGACAATGGTAAATTTTTATTGCATTGCGAAAAAGGTCAAAAATTAAAAATTAACTTTTAAT